GAGGATCAGCTGTTCGGATCGATGCACCAACACTGAAACACCTGATCCACTCTGTGTTTCTCTCAAGTCTGATTTTATCTGGTTTTGGGGTCGATCTGACTCCAAATGGCTGCCACAACTCAGAACACAACAATGGCAGTAATTCAGATTTACACTGACCAACATTTTGTTGCGTTATAGTCAGAGGTGTCAAGCAACTAAGTCCAAATACTTTGTTACTTTACTTAAATAGAAATTTTGGTTATTTATACTTTAGTGGAGTAATTATTTTTCAGCCTACTTTTTACTTCTACTCCTTACCTTTTAAAAATGCAAAAAGTATTTCCTTTTTATTTAACTTTGACTTGTTTTTATCTTTTCATTGTTCAGAAATAACTAATAAATATAAATCTATGCAGATACATGGAGCCCTCGGATAGAATGAATTTGATTGTGGTTGGATAAGAAGTGTAAATATAAACCATCCTGACACCCTATTGGATTAAACTCACTCCATCACACCTGAATGACACAAATCACATCACATTCCACCAGGACATAATGAAGCAGAGGGAGCCTAGAATGAAGATCATCCTGGCTGAAACAACTGGTCAKTTAATTCTAATTTTTTCAACATTACCATTTAAAAGCTTGAGTTGATACTTCTACTTTCAAAAAGTATTTTTAAACCCCAGTATCTATACTTCTACTTAAGTAATGAATGTATTTTTAACACCTCTGCTTAGCGTCAGTAACTCATATCAAACTTTGGCATCTTATAACTCTAAATTTCTGCCATTTTTTTATTCTATCTTAACATTATAGTTTACTGTCTTATAATTGTGAAAGAGTTGCATAATAATAAAGTATCTCATATCACCTACTTCATAATTATGTAGGGAACATTTCTTATCAGGGTCTGAATTGAGCTTTCATATTATTTCTTATATCAAGCTTTTTTGTGTAAACTTAAACTTCCTGAAGTGTTTCTTGTCTGCCTTTTTTTATTTCAGATCGGCTGATTTAAATTTTGGTTTTGGTGCAACAGTTTTAATATACTTGATTAAATATTCTGCACAGATCACCTCCTGGTTTTTCCCAACATAAACCTGATATTGTTTTTCCTGTTGATCCAGTCTCTCAGTGTCTTTAGAAAACAGGAAGTAGAACCTGCTGAAGTTTAGTTCAGCTGTGTTTTTCTGTTCAGAACTAAACTCTAACAAGTTAATTTGTGACACAAGACGTTTGTTTTAAACAAGAAACAAAGAATCTTTGAATCAAAGCATCTGAACTGAGACATGAATCAACATTTATCAAATAAARCAAGACAAACCTGTGGTTATTCTTWGTTTGAAAAAGTTAGAACTCAATCTGTATTATTAGAAGTATTTAAAAGATTTTTAAATAAGACATCACAAATCCAAATATGGTTTTATTTTATTTGTAAAGGAGCAGGAATACATTTCCTGACACACCTGYTTCCTGTTAATTCTTCTAACAGTAAACATGAGTTTATTTTCTCACTGCTCCGTCACTACGGTCATCTTCTCATCACTCTGTTTCAGCTGAAGCTGGACATGATTACAGGAAAGGTTGTGGATAAAGTGCAAAGAGAAGTGAGCTGCCAGGTGAGAACAGGTGTGTTATTGTGAAGGTTAAACGTGTTTAAAGGATAAACCAGGTGAAACAGGCGGTTTAAAGAAGGCACTGAAGAAAAGCAACACTTGAAGCTGCAGCAGGTGTCGGCCCTCACTGAGGAGAGCAGTAACGACCGGCAAACAGGACGCTGCTGGACGGGTTGTGTCTGATGAAGAAGAGGAAGGGGTGGTCTGCGATGAAGGTGGCGGGCCGCAGGGCGCAGCGCAGCATCATGACGGCCGCCGTGGCTGCAGCCGCCTCCGTCCCCTCCTCGTTCACCTCCACGAAGGCTTTGTGGTACACCTGGGACAGGTACAGGTCGTTGGAGGAGGACATGCCTGCAGGAGGGGACAGGAGGACGTTAACAACAGAACTATTTGTTTATATTTGATCTTCAGGGACTGGTCCTACCAGAGAAGTCGCTCTGTCCCATGTCGAAGGCGTCCCTCATGCCCATGCTGACCAGGACGCTCTTCAAGTCGTACTTGGCCTCCAGCTTAAAGCGGGGCAGGCCCACCTGGACCTCCACCTCGTCCATCATGTCCGGRCGGGTCCACTCCGTGAACTTCTCATACGTCAGCAGCTTCTCCACCTGAGGGAGGAGACACCACACCTGTCAGAGACGAGACCACCAGCCTGCAGGTCCTGGTCCGAGTCCAAACAGGTCCTACCTTCTCCAGACCCGTGGAGCTGTCCTCCATGCTGGTGGGCAGCAGGATGAGCATGCTGAGCTCCTTCCCTTTGTAGGGCATCTCCAGGATCTGTCAGGTAAATATTAATACATAAAAACACTTTAAATATGATGAGAAACCAGAGAAACTGTAACCTGTCCTGTCTGGTCAGAGCAGAGTACCTGACAGCTGGCCTCAGAGATGAAGGTCATGGGGAACTTGGACTTCAGGTGCATCATCTTCACCGTCTTTGTTTCATTCTGACAAACAGAGAGGAGAAAACGKTAAAGAGCTGCAGCTGAAGAAATAATCTGATGACTGTTGAACCGAYGTGTCAGAGAGACGTTTAATGATGCTCAGGAAACTTGTTAAAACTGGAGGAAACAATAAAACTAAAGAGTGTCATGAAAATAATCATTTAAGGACATTTTAAAAGTTTAAGAGGAAGTTTATCTGATGAGTAATTATATTCTGATAACAAACAGATGAACATGAGATGATATTAAACAGTTTATTTTTTTAAATGTTACTTTTTTATCATTAAGTGTTACATTCCTTATTTTCAGAGGTTTATAGTAACTAAGTACATTTACTTTGTTACAGTAATTAAGTAATTTTTTGAGGATTTGTATTTTTTAAATCGTTACTTTTACTTTTATTTAGTTATATTTCAAACCTAAAATTGATACTTTTACTTCTTTATTTTAACATTTAACACCTAGTTATTCATTACAAATTAAATCTGACTAAACTCATCATGACGAGTTTCTGCACTATAAAAACTGACTTGTTGAATTTACTCAACCAAGTCTAACTGGCTCCACTAAACCTAGTCGAGTAAATATGAAGTAACATACAGATTTTCTTTACAGGAAAATCTGTATGTTAGGGTGTGCTCCAATTACAGGGGGGTCACACTCTTAAGC